ACTACCTACTTGGGAAAGGTATGAATATATCTCTTCTCCCCCAACAGTAAATAGCAGGGAAGACTGGGTTCTATAGCTTTGGATGGCAACCGGTCTAGGAGAAGGAAAACTCTGGATTCAAGACTGAATGTAGCATATAATATGCATCCAAGGAAATGATTGTTCGCATTATTTCGATGATCCCGACTACGGTCGACTCCTTTATTATTAGTCAAGTTTTACACTAAAGTTTTCTTTGAATAAAATTCAATCTATATGACTAATATTTACCACTAAATTAAGTAAATTGACAAAGAAGGAGATTAAGTTTAAAATAAATAGCTGTTCAGAAATAATGCTTTTTTCAGTAAACTTATTAGCTACGTAATACGGTATAAAATAGTGTTGGATGTAACAAAATCTGCTTAGAAAATCTACGTTAGAAATTTTATCAGCGATCGAACATCGGCCTCTGATAGCAGTAAGAGATATATAAGTATCTTAACTGCGAAGCAGGTCATTTTTCTACTTGGCTGTTTAGAGAGAATAATGAAGATTTTTGTTCACTTAACTCTAATATTGGCTGAAGCACAAACCCTCAAAAGCATTTAAGATATTTGTAGCAACGGTAATGAGGTTTCTACAGCAAGATGCTGAGGATACCATGGACCGAACATGTGAGCAACGACGAAGTTTGATTAAAAAAAAAATTGGAAACAAAAAGAAACTTATATTTAACACCAGGAAGAGACAGTTGAAATTTCTGGAGCACATAGTAAGGAAGGGGGGGTTATTCACAGAACAGATTGAGGGACAGAGGGAAACAATACAAAACATACTTGACAAGCTTGAGAAAATGAATGACGGAACAGGGTTTAGAAATAACAGAAAGAGAGAATTTAGAGTTGCAAGTGATTGCTCAAGTCCTGGTCAAAAAGTTCGTTCGCTTTATTATTTAAAAAGTGTACTTAATAACTGAACGGACATTTTGGCCAACCCAATATGTTAATATAAGTGTTACGGTATTTCTTTTTAACTAATAAATAAATAAAGTTTAAAACGAATAAATAAAAGCTCTTTATCTAATCGGGTCAGTTTGTGTCACAGGGAGTAGCAGAAATAACAGTCCCATAGTCTTCTCCAACATTATCTGATTACATATGTATAAATTCAAAATGGAAGACTATCAGATAAAAAAATGTTTTCGTTCAATCTCATGTTCATATTTTGACCAGGATCGGAAATAAACTTAATCCGAAACGTGAATGGAAAGTCTATCTGTCAATAACGCACAAAGATTACTTTGTTATCTATAAGATGAAAGAACATTATTATTAAACGTTCAAATTCTGGCAAAAATGAGAAAAACATAGCAATAATAAAGTGTCCTTTTCATAGAAAAAAATCACGCACACACACGTTTCGGCCGTTGTACGCTTGAACCAGAGAGTTGTGATTTCAATACCTGGCTACTACAGTGGTGAATAAAAACTTGGAGAGTTGAGGTGAAGGGAGATACCTAAAAGAGGCATGGCACGTGGAACTTGAACATTCTATCCCGGTGGACAAAAAAGGGGTTTAGATCAAAATTTCAGTCACCCGAAGAAAGCTGGAGCGTACTAAGGCCGAAACGTCGTAAATATAGCAACAAAAATGAGGACAACAGTCCAGACTATATATATATATATATATATATATATATATATATATATTTTTATAAGTATTTGAACAGCTAAATTTTTGCTTTTAATCTCTCCAGGATCTATCTTACATATCTATAAGTTGCCCATGTTTGGGATATTGCTGCCACATATGGTCAGATGTTCCTGTTATATATCTTGAGATCCTTGATAAAATCCAAAGAATAATCAGCAATATTATTAGTCCTGATCTTGCGTCTCTGCATCAGTCACATTCCTACCGACGTAAAGTTGTCTCCCTTTGCCTTTTCTATAAATACTTTCATGGTAATTGTTCGGATGAGCTCTTCTTTCTGGTATTTCATGAATTTAAGCGCAGTTTAGTCTGATTTCAAGGCCTCATCAGTTTACAGCTGAGTCTGCAAGATGTAGCTGTCAGTTCTTTGCTAACAGTTCTTTTTCTCGCACTTCTCGCTCGTAGAACTCCCTTCTGACTCCATGCTTTCCAGTCAAATTTAATCTACAAAAATTTAAATACAATTCAATCGCTATCTTCTCTCCTGATTACTCTTCTTCTGCACTCCCCCCATAGTAATGTTTCTGTTTTCTAATTCTTCTACACCCAGTAACCCCTTGTGTCTTACTGGCTTTACTGTCTTGCTTGGGGTGAACTTGATTAAAAGAAAAATAATCGATTACTTCTAAGAGTTAAAAACAGGAAAATTACGCAAGAAAAAAACTTTTATTGCAATCAACATAAGAAAATACGCATTCCATCATCTTTTGTGGTTCTGAATACTAAATTCCGAATAATGACATCTTATATATAAAGTACAATGTGTGTGTTTGTGCGTGTGTGTGTCCAAGCAACTCCTCCGCTCCCACTGGTCCGATTTCAATGATTCATAGTTCATTCAAAAAGCCCTAAATCTTTTTAAGCAAGGAACGATTTTCGTTGAGCTCAGATTCAGGGTTGCCATATTGAGCGAGGTTATTAATATATATATATATTAATCGTTACTAGCCATTATAATTTTCTTTTAAGATTTTGTATAAAATTCAAGATTTAAAATTTAAATCCTATTTTTGTTTCGGGGCATGATGGGTTTTGTATCGAAACTAAATGCAATAAGATTAAAATTTTAAAGATAGCTTCAAAAAACTACAGAAGAACTCAAAATTGTTCTTGCATTTTTTGAATTAGCAGAAAAAAAAGTTCAATCAATCTATCTTTAATTTAAAGACGATTTGATGTACGTAGATCCTTATTTTCCTGTACAAACAATTTTTTTATTTCATAGGTGACAGAACAGGAGACAATTTATAAGATAAAATTATTATAGTGTAAAGAAAAAAAAACAGAAATTAGAATTAGTTATATATTCAAAATTTGAAGAATTAGAGAAACATAATCGCTAATTTTTTAAAACCTATATTATGGAATCTATATGAATAAATGGAATTGGAGCTCAATTCTTTAACGAATTAGAGATTTAAAAACCCCCCAGCAACCTTTATAGTAATTTGGTATTTATTCGATCCCCAGGGTCGATTTTGTGATTCAAAAGGTCAAGTTTAATTTGCGAGCCCGAGAGCGTACTTAATTTATTAGAAACAAAACAACGAGCAAAACAAGTCAGTAGCCTATAAAATTATAGGGTTGGTGAAAATATATCAGGCGTTTTTAAACAATATTTATTATGAAAAAAAAAGAAAAACAAACAAACAATTCAACAATAACATTTTTAAATGATTATTCCGGGGCGTATGATTATTAACACGCATTTTTATAACCTGAAAATAAAATATATTTTATTAAAAAAGTAAACAAAACAGCAATTTTTATTAACAAATAACTCGCTTACAAAAATGTCTGATAATTATGCACCAACCCAATATTATCCATACGTATTTGAACAAAAAGAAACTGTATATCAATGGTTTAATTTTAAGAGTTAATAAACAGGAAAATTCGCTAGAAAAGTAAGTTTTATTGCAATCAGCCCACGAAAATGTGCTGAAAAGTTCGCCCTAATTAAGTTTATTTTGTCTATTGCAGTAGAAAAAACAATAAATTTATTAATAAGATTTATATTTATGCTTATAAGAATTAAACTTTTTGCATCATTCCTTCATAATCATGTCATATGAACTTTTTTTTTATATACGTTCTATTTAGAAAAAAAAATGCAATTTAATTTTAACTTCATGGATACCGCGACGCGAATATAGTCCAAACTTTTATTGTTAATAAGAAAAACAAAATTTTAAAAAATTTTTTGTTATTTTTGCGAATTTTTCATATACATTTACACCTAAATGGAACTATTCTGGAAATTTTTATTAGAAATATATTTCGGGGCTTTTTTGCAAATTACCCTCGAGTTGAATTTACTTCTGTCATTGAAGAATAACTTGACAATAAAAAAAAAACTAATTAAAATATAATTATTATTTATTTAGATGGTTTTACGTTTATCTAAGACCCATTTAAAATTATTTAGTATATTAGTAAAGTTTGTTTTCCAATATAGATGTACCAGAGAGTTTGATTTGTTGTTATAATAATTATTGATAATTTTTTGCTTCTGTACCTTTTAAAAAGTCTTATATATCAGTCAGTTAAATAAAAAAGATAATACATGATCTGACAATCAAGATTTTTTTCCCGCAGAAGGTTAAAAATTTCTTTCTGAGGTAGATTTGGTTGGATTCAAAATTTATAGAACTCTGATCCTGCTATTTACCCATTTTTGACGGAAGAAAAAATTTCAAACCTTACCCAAGGCACAATATTAGCACGTAAGCAATGAATTTCAGTAAGTTATGTAAAATGCGTGATACTTTAGGCGATTATTTATCTTTAATACATGACAGACGAAGCAAATTTTTTCCTTTGTAGGTTGCCATTTCTTTCTGTGATAGACCAGTTGCCATCCAAGGCCTGTTATGTCCTGTTATTTACATAGCTGGGAGTGGGGAGAAGAAGAGGATTCATCCCTTTCCCAAGGGTATTAGCTCGTAAGTGAATATAATAGATTCGACTGGAATTCGAACACGGTTTTATGATTTCGTATAAATTTGCTACCCAAATTCCAATATGGGTTGAAACTTGTTCAATAAGGTTGACCAGTAAAAATGGTATGAACACTTTTCTTTTCACCCAAATAATTTCTACACAGATCAGAACTGTGTTTTTAATTATTATCTTCTTGACAATAAAAGCCACTGCCAATAAGTCGAAGACTATTTGGTAACAACTGCTTAATCTAAATCTAGTCATATTTCCTAGTATCGATTATATCATTTACTAAGTAGATATCTCCAACACCTTCAACAGAGAAGCAGTTACGGATCAATGATGCCTTCATCAGGATTGGCTTACGGCCACATCATGTTGAAACAGCGGTTCCCGTCAAATCACCGAAGTTAAACAAGCTCGAACCTGCTTAGTACCTAGATGGGTGACCACTTAGGAATACCAGATGCAGTAAGCTTGGATGTGCAGGTGGTGTAATGAATAATGACTCATATTTGTTAATCGGAGTAATCGAAAAGGTGTGGATCCACTTCTTCACCCCTATCTATGGATTAATTAGTAAGATTTATATCACAAAATAATTATCTAAAAAATTCTTACAATCTAAAAATATTTTTTAGCTTTAAGCTGCAAAAAGGTTAAGCCATAAAGAAAAATAAATCAATCAATCAATCATTCATCATGATTAAGAAATATCGTAATATCGATCTCCTTTCCCTTCACTCACTTCCTTTGATTATACGCAAACAGTTCAAATTTGGATTTGCCTGCCTCGATAACCTTTTTTGCACTCATCAGTAGTCAATTTTCTGTATTTTCTAGAAAACTGAAACCATTTAGTTTTGTCTTTTCTCTTTAGAAAACGTAACTGACTGCAACCCTTTCAGATAATACTATTTTTATTGATATTTTAGAAATAGTCAACGAAGATTTCATTGATTCAGTAATTTTAGTACCTGTTAGATTTCATTTCTGACGTTGTCCTGCTCTTTCTCCATATTGCAATTTGCCGATTGATTTGAATTGATCTAGGGATAATTTTTCTAAAAGCTTAGTAACTGTTAATATTGTTATTGTCTCTACTTCTACCTCAACTAAAAGTGGTGGTAACCAAAATTTTTACAAATGACGAACAAATAAACAACATTTTTTATGTTTTAAATAACAACGTTTTTTCACAAAATTAACATTTTTTTTAAAACGGTGACTAAGTGTGTTTGAGTAAGTGCATGTAAATGTTTGACGGTTGAGGTAAAGTTATATGCTTTGCAGCGACAGTTCAGGGAAAATAAAATTAGGAAAAGGGAAATATATTTAAAGCGCGCTGCTTTTTATTCTAATTACACCTGACCATCGTCACGAGACTACATGTATAAGAGAGGTAATCAACTTCTACCACATATGTTACTGTTTATTTTGAGCACCTCGGGGTGGTGTAATGGTTAGCAAGCTTGTCTCGCTAGAACAATTACGACTGAGTAGTGAGTTCAATCCTCACTTTCGGCCTTGTGCCACATCCAGGCTACGCTTAGAAAATCACTATGTTCCTTTTTATTTTATTTTTTTATGGTTATGGTTCTTATAATAGACACTGAAATTTTCGGTAGTTCCAGCCAACATGATATAATGAACATACTCTATTTCTTTTGTAGTCAATTGTTTGCAATTTGCCATATTTCTATGTTCCTCGATTCAAAATTTCAATAAAATAAAGTGAATATTTTAGCAGCGATACAAAATTTAATAGTTTAAAATCTGACTTGTTAAACAAAAACAGGAAGCAATAACAAAAAAGGAGGACGTAGGCGATCGGGACTCTCCACTTCTCTCTCTCCCTTGCAGCTCTCAACAAGTCCCGTCCCTCTGCCACCTAACCCAGACCACATTCTCTCATCCACTTGCTTAAGCCCGCTAGGTATGTCATGTGTTGTTTTCCCTTGTCTCTCTTTTCCCTCTATTCGACCTGTGAGTATCAGATTCTCCAGGCCCGCCTTTCTCATTACATGTCCCAGAAACTTCAGCTGCCTCTTCCTGATGTTAAGTATAAGCCTCCTCCTTGTTTGCGTCCTCTCTAAGACCTCATCGTTGCTCACACGCTCGGTTCATGATATCCTTAGCATCCTTCTGTAGAACCACATCTCCGTCGCCTCGAGTCTCTTCTTCATCTTTGTGGAGACCGTCCAATATTCGCTGCCGTAAAGAAGGAAGTAACAAGATAATTTACCGTAAAGCGGTAATAACGAAATACAAAACTCAACAAAAAATGGTCAGTTAAACCGGTTTATCAGTTCTCTTTCATCAGAACTCAAACGCGGACAGTAACTAAAGTAAGCACCAAAGACCGGATGTTATATGCAAATATGCGACAATTGAAGGCTAATTACATTTGAGCTTAACAAGCATGAAATAAAATGGAATTAAATTGTTAAAATTGTTTTCCTTAAACTAGAATTTATTAAAAAATATATGAATGTCACAAGTTAGTGTCAGCCTTTATTTTCATAAGTATGGGGATATGGGACGGTTGTTCTTCAATTTCCTATCATATATTATACACACATAAACGTGTATATATATATATATATATATATATATACATACTCATATACAAGCACACATATATATGCATACACACACACATATATATATATATATATACACACACACCGATGAACACAAACACACACACATATATATATATATATATATATATATATATATATACAAACACACATATACACATATAATATTATCATTATTTTTTAAAAACAGAAATTATGACACAGAATTTACTGTTTCGAAACCGAAGCTTAAAGATTAAAATTTTAAAATCTTATGCTCTTTGTATCGAGCACTGTTCTTTTTCAACAAAAATAAATGCTAAAGAAATCTGACTTCTTTCCTATTATTTAAATACACACACACATATAGGTACCTCCCAAATAAACGCGATATCTAAGGTTTAAAATGAATTTTTTTTAATGAAAAATCTTCCATGAATCCTATTTTAGTTTTGCTTTGAAGCTGATAGATTAAATTTAATTTCAAATAAGCAAAATACTTCGCTATATTTCAAAACGAATTTAAATTGAGTGGAATGAGTTTTTTCTTTAATTTCTAAAAATAACTGATTTCTTACAATTCTCTGAGCATAACGTGGTTCCCTTTATTAAAAAAAAAAATCAAAAATAAAGTATACTTTTCATATACTTTATTTGAGAAAATTTAGCTGATTTAAAGTTTAATTAATCTGATTTGAAACAAATATTCCTTTCATTTTAAAATATCACAGAAATGCATTTTTTACATGGAGGCAGGTGTTATTATGTTGACAGCTCTATTCACAGCCAGAAATTTAACTAATTTTTTTTTCTACGGGGATATGTGTAAAAATTACTTGAATATAATATGAGCACCTTTTTTTATATATAATTTTATTAACTACCTAGTTACCTTTAAAAATTTAGGAAAATATTTTAAGTAATCTAATATTTTATGGAATTTTAGGTAATTTGTCTTTAAATTTACTATCGTTACCACTCTTATTTTCTGTTGTGTATAGATATCTGTATTTTCAAAAAACGCACATTTATACACATACACACAAAATTAAAAAATCTTTTTTAAAATACTGGGGGGTTGCTTTTCCATTTGTGATTTGTAAATGTGATTTTTACTTAAAAAAATATCACCGAACCGGCACAAATTTATACAGAATTTAAAAGATTTAAAATTTTATAATTTATTCTAATTAATTTTTTTTTTTTTTTTAAAATGAAAATTCTCGTAAACATTCATTGTCGAAATTTTTTTTTCTTAAGACAATAGTGTCCGTAATATATCTTATTCATAAAAGCAATTAAAAGTTTTTCTTTTTAAATAATATCTTAGTTTTATTGCATTTTGTATTTTACGATTCAAAGCAGATTTTAGGTAATTGGGGGTTCGGTTTTACAAAAAACATTTATTTAAATATCCTGAGGACTTCTGGTTAGAACTAGTATAAACATTAAACGACACAAAAAAGAATTACTCGAAATTCCATGAAATTAATTAAGTGGGATTTCAAAAATTTTAATCGAAAAGTAACTGGGGCTGCGAAATTGTGAGATGGAGTTGAAATAGTAGGGAAGAGTCGGTTTTGTAGTTATGTAAGGTAAAAAGAAAAATGTATGTCGTAGTGACGAATATGGCCATGGAACCGAGTGCAGCTCGACAGATCGCCAATGTCACTTCGCCGGATTGACAACGTTTGATTACGAACGAAAACGTCTATGAGAAATCTTGTGACCACTCGCAAAGTCTTTACACTAGGGATTCTAAGTTGTGAACTGACTTTTCTTGCATCGAGGTGACTGAAGCAACTTGTTTCAAGAGTCCCATAACAAAGGATGAGCTTGTAGTGGACCGGGTGCGTTTGTTGAGTGTTGTTGAATTAGAGACACGTGCTGTTTATTCTTGCTAGAAGAAGGTCCAACAAGAAAATGGCGGTCTCAAATTAAGTCCAACCGAAAATGAAAGAAAACAAAAACAATATATATATATATATATATATATATATATATATATATATATATTAAAGACATTTTTATGTTTAACGTTCTTTTTTATAGATACAAGTATTTAAGTAAATGCTCTGTTTATAATAAACAGTATTAAATAACATTTACCGGCCTGAATGTCCGAGAAATTTTCATAGAAAATATTCGTCCTTTGACAGGATTCGAACCTGCATCCTATCAAAGGACGAATATTTTCTATGAATAGATTTATATTTATATAATTTCCAACAAGCAAAATATATGTGTGACAAAGACATCAACATTTGTGTTTGTGTGAACGTAAAAAGTTTGTATTTTGGTGAAAGTTCGTACGTACATCTATGTGTGTTTCATGGTGTTTTCCCATAAGTGGACGAAAACGTTGGTCTTTACGAGAAATCACACTTTTAAATGTGTCCGCTGAAATGCAAAGTAAAAAGGAGAACGAGGCAAGAAGTTTCCCAGTATTTATAGTGTAGGGAGAGCGACCCCTAGTGAACAATTAGGGAATTAAGAGGAGCTAACTCCGACAAGTTTTTGGAAAGCGTTAAGAACAGTTACAATAGAGTGAGTATCGTTAGTCTGCCTTACAAATTGTACTTGAGCCTTTGCACATGCTTCTCTCCTAATTGGCATTGATTTTCAACAACTAGATGGAGTAACGGAAGATTTGCATGCATCAAGGACAGTATTCCATGCTTTGGAAATGGCAGAATATAGCAGAAGGAAGATTATGGTAGAGGTTCGTCAATCTTTATCGGCACCCCAATTTCGATTACTCTTTTAAAGAAGTAACCTAAAAGTTAGTTCGAATGAATAGCCGTGGCGACTGTACCAGCCATTTCCTAAGCCTTCTTTGGTATTCCACAAAAGTTTCCGTCCATATGATGTCAATGCATTTGCTTATAGCAAT